TAAACGCACATATTGGGGACTGAACTCAGGGCCTTTCCACTGTGCCATATTTCATCCAGTTTGGGTTTTTGAGACAGTGTCTCACTGAGCTGCTCAGGCTGGGCTCAAACTTGTGATCCTTCTAACTCAGCCTCCTTCACGGATGGGATTTTGGCATGCCTGCACCTACTTTCTCAGGTCCTTTTTAATGAACTTCAAAACAAAAGTTAACTGTACACTAATGCTAGCTAAATACATGCTTATGAATACTTATGTTACTAAGTTGTCAATGGAGAATTAGTATTTAGTATTCCAGAGTTCAGAACTTAAAGGAAAGAATCAAGGACACAGATTATCTACTTAACAGTCATTCTTTTCATTAAGGAAAATGAGCAGCAGGATGACTATGAAGGCATATAAGTACTTCATAAAGATACAAGGTGGTAGCTAATTTAATTATATGCTAATACAGAAACAATGTTGCGGGCCAGAGATTTAGTTCAGTGGTTCTGCTGCCTGCCTTGGAAGTACAAGGACCAGAGTTCCATACCCGGTTAAAAAAAAAAAGAAAACATGTTGGAAAAGAACACTTTATTCATTTGGGTGAGGCATTAAACATAAGATAAGGCCTCAATAAATTTCTAGAGAAAAGTGAACAAGTGGCAAATTTATAAAAGCCCAAAAGTTAGGTATCATGGTAGATTGGAAAGATAGCCTAGAATGCGAGAGATTTCTTATTTGTCAGATAACCCACAAGTAACTAAATACAGAAGATAAACCTTTATTAGCTAAAAGCAGGCCATGGAATATAGACCATACTCCAAAAACCTCTTCACTTATATCATTTCAAAATGAAAAGGTAATTTGTACTTATTGAGACCAAGTTCAAGATTCAGCAACAGCAGAAATCTATCACAGATAGAAAAATTTCCAGCATATATTAATCATTTTTTTCAGTTAGGAATAATTATCCACTTGTATGAAATAATGCAGACCCTTAAATAGGGACAAAGGCCCGATTCTAAAAATGTTACAGACTACAGTGTGGTTTTATTAGATTGCCAAGTATCAACTTGGTACAGGCAACCTTGAAACAAAGTCTATACTGTGTTTGGCACATAGAATTCTATAAAGAGCACTGAAAGTTAAATTTCCAAGCTTGTCTATAATTGACAAGGCAGTAAGAGTTTTAACTCATGAAAGTACCAGGGTTTTTTTCCCTCCCCTTTTCTGCCTGTAGTTCCGAAATGACAGTGCTTCAAAGACTACTGGATAAACTGACAGGCTGGAAACTTTTAGACCCTCTTTCCTTCTCTGCTCATGTTTAATGTAAGACGGTATGTCCTAATGGAAACTGTGCTTTGTAGTTCCACTACAGAACCTTCAGAGTACACAGGAAATAGTCTCCTGCACTGTGAAAATGGAGTGTTCCTTCTCCAGAACCTCCTGCACACTACCAACACTTTCACTTCAATATGCACCTTGTAAGTTGCACAAAGGTTAAAAACGTGATTCAATAACAGCCTTTTCAAAAGATGTTTTATTGCTATAGGTTGTAAGATTTTTTTCAACCATAAAAATTTAAAAAAATTTCATGTTTCTGCTCTCTGTGGTACAACACAGCCATTTCATGGGACATCACTTTAAATTTAATTTGTCAGGGGTCACCAAAGTTTAGACAACAGCAGAATGGTATCAACAAGTCTTTCACTTAAAAAAGTGGAGCATGAACGAGAATTTGAAAACTGCCTTTCATAGGAAATAATAGTCTTCCCTTGATTTCTCTTAGTGGTCTCAAAATTCAAGGCTGGCAAGAAGACAAGTATATAGCGGTCCTGTCCAATTTTCCCCAAACAAATGCTACATACAGCAACTGAAATATTCCTAGAAATTAGTACAAAAAGAGATTTCCCTGAATTTATCAGAACCTACCTGAATTTGGACTGTGCTTTTCTGACCTCTTCATATAGTCATAGCTTCCATTTCACAGCCATAACAGCAATAAACTATCAAGTACAAACACCACTGGGAAAACAAGGGCCTGATAAAGCCCACAGAAAAGCTCTTTACTAACACCGGCACTCCTTTCAGTCATGCTATTATACATCACACTTTATTGTTGTGCATAATAAATAGATACAGAAAATGGTGAAAAAGTATGACTGAACTATCTAATTAAAGCTGAGTACACTAACCTAGTCAGATTTAGGTTTTTAATGAGAAATGACAAGAATAACTGAGTATAAAGAAAAACAAAAAGAACTTTACTTTCCTATGTTAATACAGGTCGAGGGACCCTTTCTTACCAAAAGGCTTGATAACACCAGTTCTTAGCAATAAACATAAGGCACTTGTTTAAATTACATCACTGCATTTTCCCCCTTGTTTTTTCTAACCCTGTTTCTCCCCCACAGTATCATTTGAAATCAATAGAATGCATGAAGCAAACATGAGATGATCCGGTTGATACTACTCAGAGCAAGACGGTACAGTACAATGCTTTGGGGGTGATGTCTGGAGAGAAAATGAACCCAGTCAAGGTCCTCTGACACCAGACAACGTATCCACTATCAAGTAAACCTGAAAGAAAATAAAGGATTTATTCAATAGTTCCAGTAAAATTGGGGTAGAATACAATATACATGTTAGGAATTTAGCTCAAGGGTGGCACCTGCATTTAGAGTTCTGAGTATTTCGAATATTCATTCTAAGACAGTCTACATCATTTGAACAGTCAAGATAGATGAATTTCATTTCAATATACAGTAGAGTTTAAACAAAATTCACATATACACCCCCTATTATATGGCTGGTGCCTCCTCCAAACACCGTGTCAGTGGCAGAGGTAGCACTAGTGTTCTTTCCCAACAAGAACTTCAGTTGCCACTCATAGAAGTAAAAACAAACAAACAAACAAACAAAAAAAAAAAGGTTTTTTAAATTTTGTTTTGTTTTGTTTTTTTTATTTGCCATCTGTTAAGATGTTCCTGAGACAGGGCCAGTTAATAAAACAAAACAAAGCACTGGAGTTCAGTTTGTATGTCTCTGTACATCACTAAAGTGTTAGACTGGGATGTGGAATGCAGGTCATGTACTACGAAAGAAGCAATAAAATGATTGGGTCTTCTGAAAATTCCCTTTAGAGCATATACTCTATAAACTAAAAGTACTACAAAAAGTTCAATTATATACACAATTGATTCATTTTACTTAATCTTATTTGCTCAGATCTTGCAAATGCAATGAGAATATTGAGCCTGAGGCTAGTTCTCAGTGTACAGGTTTGACAGGTTTAAGGCTCATTTTCCCAATCAAATTAGCAGTTTCTGGTTTTCCTTTCAGATTATGAATTACATTCATAGTACCTGCCACCATTCTAGCCCTCAATGAAATCTCAGCACAGGAGCAGCATTCTACTTCATTATGGAACTTCACTGACAGCAGCACTCAGCACACTCCAAAAAGCTCCTGTTTTGGGCCAAGGAGTTAGCTCAGTGGTTCTGTCGCCTGCCTCGTAAGCGCCAGGTCCCGAGTTCCATCCCGGTACGCCCCCCAAAAAAAAAGAAA